GAGAGTTGGAAGGAAAGTTAAAGTTAGAGTGGAGATGTTGAAGTGATGGGGTTTGATTTTATGAAGGAAAAAATTGAGTGGATATTAATGATTTTAGTGAGTTTTTGGTGAGAGTTAAGTGGAGAGTTGAAGTGGTGAGGGTTTCCTAGATGAAAATGAAGGGATGAACCTTGTCTGACTTAAAAGTGCATGTAAACATAAAATGAATTCCTTCATGTGTAACCAGTTACAAGAACGCTGTAATCAGTTACAACATAGCGCCAAAAATTTTCTTTTAAAGATAAAGAGAAATTTTAGAAGGTGCAACTTGTTAACACCAGGTGGTAACCAATTACATCCAGAAAAAAAGTTGAAGTTTTTTAAAATATGGAAAACGTACACACAACATCAACTAAATATTATGAAACACTCATAACATATATGATTGAATTTTTTTGGGTAGAAGTAGAGTTTTCCACACAACAAAATAATATACAACTTAATAATTTAAGACATATGTGTATGTTAGAAGCTTCTTGTTGAACAAAACATCATCTTGATGTGTGTGTGTGTGTGTGTATGTGTGTACGCATGTGTGTGTGTGTGTGTGTGTGTGCGTATGTGAGAGAGGAGAGAGAGAGAGAGAGAGTGTGTGTATGTGTGCAATGTTGACATTTTGTTTTATCAAACACCATTCTCATCCAAAATCCCAAGCTCTATTTGAATTTTATAAAAAGGTTCCTTTGCTAGCGGTTTTTTGAAAATATCTGCCAATTGGTTATGCGTATCCACAAAAGTAACTTCGACATCTCCTTTGAGCACATGATCTCATAGAAAGTGATATCGTATGTCTATATGTTTGGTTTTTGAGTGCATCATTGGATTTTTTGTTATGTAGATAGCACATGCGTTATCACTTTTTAAGAGAATGCATCCAAGGTTCATGCCATAATCACAAAGTTGTTATCTTAACCATAATATTTGAGCGCAACAACTTCCTACTGCAATATATTTCGCTTCAGTTGTACTAAGAGCGACACATGCTTGCTTTTTACACAACCATGAAGCTAGAGCATTTCCTAAGATGTGGCAAGTTCCACTTCTGCTTTTTATATCCGTTTTGCATCCTGCATAATATGAGTCATAAATAGCCAACCAAATCACATACACTGCCTTTAGGATACCATTGCCCAACATTTGTTGTCCCCTTGAGGCATTTCATGAATATTTTCATGGAGGCGAGATGAGACTCTTTTGAATTTACTTGAAATTGTGCACAAAGATAAACATTAAACATAACTTAGGACGACTTGCTGCTAAATAAAGTAAAGAGTCAATCCTACCTCGATACATCTCCGAACAGGTTTTACGGAGATGCATCTTCGAACAGGTTTTAATTTATATACCTCGTGCAAGAACCTTCCCCATTCCTTATTCATTTGTTACATTTCCACAAACCCTTTTCAAATAGCTCTGAGAAAAATTCAAGTGGGCCATTTTCAAGCTTCAAAACTACTTCAACTACATTGCAATAAATCCTAGTAGATTCCATTCACTCCATTCAAGCTTTCACACAATAACTCTCAATCAGTAAGTTTCTCATTTTCTTTCTATTTTTCAGTTGTGATGCATGTATTAGGTAAAATAGGTTGTTTAAAATATATTAGGTTGTAGTTACATTCAAAATAGGCACTTTGTTTAGACATACATACAAACTTGTTGGTGTTTAGGGCTTTGACTGCATTTTTTAGAATTTATGCTATCACACATTTTTACGGAGATACATCTCTAGATTTTTCTGGATTTTTTTTGCCTTTCCAGTTTTACGAAGATGCATCTTTAGATTTTTCTGGATTTTTGGTTTTCTATTTTCCAGAGATGCATCTATGAGATTCACTTTCCTTGATTTTGATATTGTTTTCTGTTTTGTATTATAGGAACAATGGCTGAAAACCAGCACATGTTAAGGCACATGCGTGTATCCCAACACACGTCTGTTCATAGGGAGAGGGCAGCATGCTCAAGGTCACGAGTTAGTGCTAGTTCATTTTACAAGAAGGCGCCGACTTCACATGGTTGCATGTCTTAGATTTCACAAGGTCTCATCTCATACTTCGACCTCCCGAAGGCATGTATATCCCACTGCCTCTCCAGCTTATGAAGCCCAATAAGAGGAACCCACCACTATTGATCCCGATCTTGATGGTTTTCCAAGAGGTTTATATGGTACCTCCTTACTTTCTCTCTATGTAGAATATGATGTTAGGCATGTGTGGAAATGATAGATATATTTATTAGTTTTACATTACAGTTGTTTCATACTAATTGAGTTGCGAATAACATTGATATATTTATTTTTATAGGAGTGTGAAATGATAAAATCTATAAACCATGCTAGGAATATTTTGAACATGAAGAAGAATGTAGATACATGGTTTTAAGATGTAGTTCAGAACTTTAAGATGAAACGTTTATGCGCCATTGGATACAGGACTATCAAGCATGAATGTTGGTGGCTTTTGTGGAGATATGGCACAAGGAGATGTCATCTTTCCACATCCCTCATGGTGATATGTCCATCACCCTTGATGATGTCTCATGTCTTCTACATCTTTTGATAGAGGAAGACTACTAAACCATTCCCGAATCAATAAATATGAGGCACTTGAATTTATGGTAAACTATTTAAGAGCATAATGCCATGACAGGCACTCATGCCCGATTTTCATAGATGGAGGACTTGTACAAATACCACCTAGTTGCGGTAGTGGATCCTAAAGGTGATGACGAGCAGGTTTCGTTCCATAAATAATGTCCAATGAGGTCATACTTCGTATACTTGGTTGGCACAACAATATTTGTGGAGAAAAGTGCAACCTATGTAGATGTAGTCTACTTGACATACTTACTGGTTTATAGCAAATCCACGAGTACAACTAGAGAGTCGCGTGTTTGGTTTATATGTACTCCAAACTAGGTGAAGCTTATCTTTAAAAGACAAGATAGATGACTGGAGCTGTACATTGTTTCCAGTAATTTAATTACAACCTTTACTTTTACTAATATTTTCACAACGCTTGTGCTACACTTGTTACTAATAGTTTGTTTGAACCATTTTTAGGCGTGGATTTCCTCATATCCGGATAAGAACATGAGATGGACTACACTAAGGATGGCCATGTGCTTGCGCCTTTGATATGTACAAAGGGAATCAGACCATATAATCGTTCCAGGTGTTTATTGACCCTATTTTAGCATATCATACATGCTTCTGCCCGTACGATGGTCATCGTCAAACACGTCACTTGGATAATATAGCCTTCTACTTTATTTGGTTAGCTTGTGGGTCACGCCTGATGTATCCACATCTATCTAAGTGGGTCATGCGCCAGTTCGGGTTTCTTTAGATTATTCCAAGACCTTCTTCTGTGTCTTCTCCTCTTGCAGTCCGCGACAGAGATCTTGATGTCATACTCGATGATTTATATAATCATCTGGTTTCAGATGAGACACGCGGTGTGCCAGTGCGTGAAACATAGGCTTATGCACATGGTAAAATCCAATGGCTCTATCGAGTGTCACATCCTTACATGACACCAGATTTTGCAGAAACATTAGACCTGCTCATCAAGAGATATTAGAAGAGGAACAGGCTATGGATGATGACATAGTAGACCTATTGCTAGTCTGTCAGCATATTACGACGATTGTAAGAGATGCCATAGAGAGACATTGTGGAATGCATTCCTGGTATGACTACCTTACATACCATCTTACTCGAGGCACATAATGCCTTGTGGTACAGGCGGTGACAGACGAGAAACATGGGAGTTAGAAATACACAGTAGTTTATTTATATTTATATTTTGGTAACAATTGTATTTTTTGAACAAATTATGTATTGTAGTAAGTTTTTCGACTCCTTAATTAATGTTTGAATTTGAATTTATATATGACATGTTTGAATTACATCAGTATCTTAGCATGATGTTTATATATTCTTAGTGTAAATGACCTAAAAAATATCAACTTGGGTCATTGTTGCCCAGCAAAAACTCTCAAATGCTTTCATGGGTTATTTCGGAGATGCATCTACGAAATCATCCTAGAAAATTATAGAGATGAATCTCCGATCCATTTTTTTTTTATAAATTTGGGGTGGATGATTCACTTGTGAAGCACAAAGTGCTTTCAGGAGTTAATTCAGAGATGCATTTTAGTATATTTTTACGGGTGATTCTGTATATGCATCTTCGAACCTTTTTTTTTTACAAATATGAGGTGAATGACTCGCTTATGAAATGTTGTGTGTATTTTATTTGTGTTCGGAGATAAATCTCCGAAATATATAAAGACAAAATATGGTTTCCACTTTATTCACTCTCACTCCATAGAGTGGATAAAGTAATGTCCATCAATATTTAATGATTTTTATTTCATACTCTAATTAATTCGTGTTTGTTTTCTCATCTAATGGGCTTTTCAGCCTGAATACCACTTTTGGGTTTTAAGTCCACTGCTTTAGAAAATCTCTATTTAATGTTAGAGAAATGCTATTTGCACCCCAAATTTACAAAATCCAAAAGACCTTAACTTTTGAACTGTGTGAGCTACTACAATTTTGTCCTTTGTAAAATGCTTATTGTTGGGTGTATCTAAACATAAATCTTTTTGTTTCTATCACAAGCAAAAACAAGATACGTTTCAAGAAATGTAGATTAGACTTAAATTTCAGTTGAAGCATGAGAAAAATAAACTTGCATTAGGTTAGCTTTGAAGTATAAATAAAGCTTCAATATAGAAGTTGTGTGTAATTGAATCAATGAATCTGCAGTATCTTTTGAGTTCAGTAAACTTGTTCAAAATAATTTTACAATATTCATCCTAGATTTTACATGAGTCAAAGAAAAAGAATGCCTATGAAACAATAATGAAAAGAATAACAACAACAAATTAATAGTTGTTACCTATTCACACAAAAAGAATAAATTAATGGAGGTAAGGTAATGAATCATATTCACTCATAAGTCATATGAAAGCACTGGTATCACTGATGTTCCTCTTGTCAATGGTGAGAATTCCGATTTCGAAACACTTTGATTTTCAGCAAGTAGTGGCTCAGTTGTTGTGTCCCCAAGACATGAAATATTTGAGTTCAAACTAGTGGCACTCCTAAGCGCGAACGACGATTTAGTGCGTGTTCCGCTTCTTGGAGACAGATTAACTTGTTCCAATGCTCGGAACTGGAGCTCGGAAGGGTAATCCCGGACGCAGCCGATCCGTGGTCCAGCTCCGGTTGTCCATTTGCAAGATAACTGCCTGCCTAGCTGATATGATTTTGTTTCTTTATGGGAGTTGATTCTCTTAAGTATGGACTCTTCTGGAATTATTTCTATGTCATTGTCATCGTTGAAGTTTTTCGTTGAATCTGAAAGGTCTGATGGAAGTAATTCTTCGGTTTCTTGACCACTTGTAAGAGATTCTTTCATTTTGAAGCTCGAATAAGTTTGAACCGCGCTTTCTTTCTTGTTTTCTAGTCCTTCAAACACTCCACTCCTTTTTGGTATTTCAAGATTGGTCAGTTCTCTTCCTAATATTTGGAATTGCCTTGTGCTCGAAGTAACCAATGCAGGCTCGCTCCCGATTTCTATCAAATCATCCTTCTTCAAAACCAAGTCTCGGACAACGGTTCCTTCGATCTCCGTGCCGTTTATCTTCTCAGTGTAGTCCTCTTCAGATGAGTGGTTTCTAAGATGACAGCTACTTCTAGAAGAAGCGAATTCATCAGCCTCGTCAACGGGAGCCATCTGCATATAAAGCAAAACAAATTTCCTTAAAAATGAACTCTTTCGCATCTCGTAATAACAGATCTAAACTTCCAAAAAAATGTTTCTAGCCTTGTTTCAAAATTTTCATACCTTGACATCCGAAAGATTCACATTGTTCTCTTGAAGGAACGAAATAAATTCCTTAAAGTTTTCTTCGGTTGGTCGATAATGACCGCTGTGAGGCCAAACAGCCTGCCGAAAACAAACAATAAATTCATTCATAAATAAGCAGATGAAATGGATCCATCAAAGTAAGTGCCTTTTTTGTCAGATTTATACCTTCAAGACACCATTTTCAATCACCAATCTTCCAGCAGAAGATGTAGCACCTCCAGCCAAGAAGCTAGAATGCTGAAATGAACCTTTATTCTTTTTGCCAACATAAAGTGACTTAGAAGTGCTTAACACAAAAATCCATTTTGCATGTGAATCTTCTGCAGCAGTGTGAAGAAGCTCTCCGGATTGTTTGTAAAAGAACTTTCCGTCCTTGACGACAACTTCATAAGCAAACCTTTCCATCTGGAAGAAAGAAAAATGCAAAAAATCATTCGGAATTCATATCATACCGTAATTAGAACTTTCCATGTTCATATCAAAGTGAGAAACCTTACCGGACCGAGATATTTAATACACTGCAGTTGAAGTTTAAATCGAGGACACTTCTCGAGATTTACTTCCCTTCCTTCTCCTATATCTAGCCTGCAATTCCAAAGAAGAAGCTTAATTAATCTCAAACTTTGGTGATTCAAGATCTATATAATTTATTTTCCAAAGAATATTAATTACCAGTAGAAGAAGGGTTCTCTGCTTTGACATTGAAGCCATTTATCATAATAAAAGTGTAGATTATGTCCATAGCGATGTCGCGGGTCGATCTATTACACAGAAAAAAATCAAAACATATCAGTCAGTAATACTATAGTAAACAGATGAATGAGTGAAATCGCGTTGGACTAACCGCTTCGAGCCAATGCTGCAGCGCAAGTTTTTGTGCTTTCTCATCTTTGGACAAACCTTTTCCAACCTTAGCAGCTCTAGTTCTGGCTCTAGACCAACGCGAAATCGCGGTTTCGTGTTTCTCAATGTCGAAGAACGATATTGAGCTGCGCTTGAGTTCAGCGAAATCTAAAAGCTTCCACCTATTAACAAAATCAAAACATCAAAAAATGGACAAAGTTTATGTAAGAAGCAAAAAGTGTACTAACAAAATTTTCGATAAAATACCAGCTTTGTTCGACAAGAATGGCACAATCTGCAAGCTTTCGTCTGGTGCGAAAGCTCTTGTAAACTTTCTGCAATTTAAGTGCAGCAATATGTTTAGGACTGCTTGGATTCAAAAGTGCGGACTGAATTGTTTCCACTTGTTGACGTTCTAAGAAATTATTGATTTCTCTAGTCGTTTTAGCATTCAACACGTTGCTGTTACTCTCATTATCTGTCGATAAAATGCTATCAAAATCAGTTCTCTTGAAGCTTACAGATGTTTCAATAGTCATCTTTCCAGAACCTAGAGATTTAAGAATGGTAGGTTCCAAATCTTCACTTTTGAAACTAACTGATCTTAGTGGAGTTTTGATTTCATCATTGCCGAAGTTGATCGATTTTACAAGCATGGAATCTATGTCATCTTCCACATCATTGTACTTAAATGGACATGAAAAGAATATTCCCATATCAGAAACAACAAAACCAATCCTGAAAATTGCAAATGCATTTTACATAAGTCAAAATACACTAAAACAACAGAATCTTCAAGTGTGTAGAACAAAGAACATCATTATTCACAATGAGACAAAATCCAGGAAAAATAAGTTGGCTAAATTAGAAAATAAAATGAAATATTTTTCATTTATATTATTGTGTCGGTGAGAATTGACAAGAGAAGGCATTCTCATGAAAACAGTAAGGATCTAGAAAAGATTCTATCTATAGGCTTAGAAAAATCCATGAAACAGATGAATACCTGAAGAATGAAGGAGAGAATGGAAGAGTATTGATATGAAAATGGAAATAAGTAGCAAAGTTTTCTAGTTCTGAAGAGTGGTAATGAGATTGTTTAGCTGAGAATAACGGAGTTAATATATATATAGAGATGGTGATATGAGAAAATACAAAAACAGGATGAAGAGAGAGAAAGTGAAAAGGACAGTGTGTGTGTGATGAAGAGAGAGAGAGAGAGAGAGAGAGAGAGGGTTTTTTCCTACCACGTGGAGTCGACAATTAAACGTTTTTTTAATAATTTGTTTTAGAGCTTTTACTTCGTGAAATTATTTTCTTTTTTGTAAAATAAATTTGACTTTTCATTACACGTAGAAAGGAATTGGCAAAACGGGTCTATTGTTTTTCTTTGAAATTTTGGAAGACAAAGTTAAAGGAGAAATATGAATTTATTAAATTTTTATTCAAGAATTAATTGCAAGGTGAGGTACGATTTCAGTGTTACACAAACACAAGAACAAAGTCAACGTCGTATTGTACATTTAGAATGCCTTTATAAAAGTGAAATTTGAGATGAGATAAAAAGTCATTCATAATTTTCTTTTTTGTGTCACTTAACTTTTTATCTATATTTGTAGTAGCAAACCGGCCAAATTAAATAAGGTTCACCAAAACATGTTTGTTTGTTGGATGGTTGGTTACTACATATTGATTCGTTAGTTAATATATATACATTACTCTAATTATACTACTTAATTAGTATATCTACTTTTATTTTGGCCATTTATGAGTATATATTAAATAAGAAAACATTTCAAATTATGATTTGACTGTCTATTTAATTTTCTTTTCATACACGTATATAGTAATTGTTCATATATAAGAGGGGTCATTTTCATAACTAAGTCTTGAAGTAAACTTCAATCTAATCCAAGTGAGAATGGTATTGACTTTATCAAAATTAACCATTTCACACTGCATAATAGGTCAATTCTTCTAGCTACCTTAGTCAAAGTGATCATAACGAATAGCTTAACCAGCAAGTTTTTTAATTTGTCCCCAAGAAAATCAATAAACTAAAATGCATTTGGTTGAATTTGTGCAAAATTTTATTGATTATACATATATTCAAATATTATTTTTTATTAATTTTAGTTCTACTTAATCCTATTTATTCAAAATTTATTGTAGTTATAATATAAAAAAACAATTGAATATTTTATTTAAAGTTTAAAGATAGTGCACTGCATATGTAAAAAAAATATTATACATACATTTAATTAGAATATTCTGAATGGTCAAATTATTATAATATTTCAAAAATAAAAGTGTGATATGACATAATACGTATCTTTCTTTTTACGAGTATATTCCATTTTCTTTTTTATTTATAAAAAAAAGAGTAATGTAATGAGAGAAAACTTGTGAATTTGATTTTTTTATATACTTACTATTATTATAGATTCTTTTTGTGAAACTGAATTGTAGCAATAATATGTTATAATAGAAGTTATACAAATAAATTTTTTTTTTTGTGAAACTCCTTTTATCATAAACGAAACAAGTTTTAAATTAGTATTAATTGTCTATTCATCTTATAACATATTAAATATATTATTATTTTGTTTGCAAATTAAATATATAGGCAAAAATATATCATAATAAATTCGTCCTTTATGTTTTTTTTCTACAATTTGATCATTTATGTTAGGTAACGTCTTTGTTACATGATGGCGCAGATCTAGAAGGGGGTTGAATAGATCACTTATTAAAAACAGAGTCGGCGCTAGCAATATTTAGTTTTTAAAATTGTTTTAGGCAGAAGCGGTCGAGGAACTATATTCGTCTAAAACGAATCTTTACCGAAAAAATCGGATATGCGCAAAGCCTATGAAATTTGATAAAAACGAGATTTAAGAATCACTAATTTGATCACACTTCAATCGGATTTTATTCACTATAAGGTTTGACTGTTTTCAATGCTTTAAAAATATAGTCAATTTAAAAAGACAACACAATTGCTTGTTGTTCACACAATTGGTCAAACACTTGGAGTGTAAGGCACTACAAGTGAATTCTAATATGAGAGTAACGTGCTCAAGTGTTCAATTACAATCAAGGATTGTAATAAGCTTAAAAAATGGTTCAACACTACTCACATCAGAATTTTGATTAACACAATTGTTTGCACTCAAACTCAGAATTTAAGCAATTTAAAAGTAAAGAAAGAACACATATTTGATGAGGCAGTTCCCCCGTCGTCCTCACTCGGGGTACGTCTGCCCTCAATTCTAAAAATAGAATTGAGACATGTATAAAGATATAATTTGTTGGTCAATGTTTACACGAGAAGCAAATAGAAATCAAACGATCAAACATGATTGTTGATACAGAACCTATTTCTTCTCTTCCCTTGATTCAAGTTGAATCAAGTCCTTCGAACGCGGTAAATAAACCTTTGACTACGACACGCCCTTTGAACAACTCCACGGTCTTCAAATCTTGCCCGGCTGATTTTAATCAACAACGTGTCAAACCCGAATCTTCCTCTCACAATCCTTCGGTTACCGCTACTAAACCGATAGAACAACCCGTTCTTCGATTACCTTCGCTTGGCTGAATCTGTGATGGACTGATTCGTGCAAAAACCCCCCAAAATCTAAGATTCTTGGAGGACAAAACCCTAATGGTTTTATTCAAGAAAAACCTACTAATTACTCAACCCAAACCCGATTACACCAATCCTATGTTTGGACGTTATCACCTCTAACAAGCAGAATGCACAACAAAAATGATTATATGTAGTTGCTATGCAAGGAAGAGGATGAAGATGATGAGAACAAATCAGTATGTTATTTTCACTTTTCATGTTTTTCAAGTGTGTGTAAAAGGAAGAGCAAAACTCACTTTATATGCAAGACAAAACTGATTAACAAACATAACAGACACAAAGACAGTTTCACATAACAGATTTTTAACTGAACATACGCGAGCGGTCGACCTATGCAGAAAAAAGGGTCGACATGAGCTTACCCGAATTCCTGATTATGCAACAAAACAGAACTTTGCATCGACCGGAGCAGGTCATCCGTCGATGCAAAGCACGCAGATTTAGACAAATAGAAATGGACACAATATGAGTCGACCAGAGGGTCGACGCGAACACACCTGAGAGTATACCATTCAAAAAACTATTTGTAAGTCGACCGGAACTAGGTTTGAGTCGACTCAAAGCCCTGAAATATGTAAAAATGCCTATTTTCATGTATCAAGCCACTTTTGAGGTACTCTATTACATAGTAAGCTTGACAAGCTTGACCAACCCTACATGAAGCATATATTAGAAATTTCTATATGTATCAATAATGTTTTTGGCGAATGTTTAACACACGAGGGATAAGACATGCATATGTGACACAATGATACCGTCCAAATTATATTTTTCTACCAATCTAAGTTTTGACATCATTAAAACAAGTGTAGCTACCTATGAGGATTTCCCTCACAGTCTTTACTGTTTGAAAATATGTCCTACGTGGCATTGGACAACTTGCTGTTTGTGTAATTTTTCATACATTGCATCAGTTTTTGATTTACCTCCCCCCCTCCTCCCCGTGAAATCTAGGGATCACAAATCCAATTCGCATTTTCGTTATCTTCTTCCTCCATTCGCGTATACGTTCTAGTTCTTTTTCTTCTCCATAGTACAAATTTGCTTAGAAGCTAATATGGTTGAAAGCAGCAACACATCTTCTGTTGGATTTTCATACTTACGTAGGTGTAGATGCAATCGTGTAATGAAGATATAGGCCGCCAACCCTATTCAAAACCGTAATAGGAATATCTGGAAATGTCGTAACGCAAAGGTAAAAAAGTTAATAATGTTGCACATCATAAAATCCAGTATGTGATATTTGTGTGTAAATGTTCTTTGTTTTGGTAGAATAGGAATACATGTGACATGTTTGTGTGGGATGATGAAATTTGACACTATATGAATGAGAATACAAATATTCCAGCAACTTCCAAAAACTGTGAGATGGAAAATGTGAAGTTAGAAATCACAGTAAAGAAGTTAGATAAAGCAAAGGTGAAGATTGATGTTCAGGAGATGAAATCACAAACAAACAATATACCTTTCTTTTCAAAACCCTAGCACATGTGTGGTTGTCTATTATTGTCTTTAGGGCATAAGGGTGCTTATGGCCCACTTTAGAGCATACCATTAAAAAATCACATTTATCCATAGAGCAATGCATTCCATACCCCACTTAAACAACATGAGGTTACCATAGAGCATTGCATACCCCACTTAAATTTAAAATTCTTATTTAGTTGGTATTTCCTAAATTTACCAACCTTAGGCCCATTATCATCATCGGAAACATCTGGATCTGAGCTGTCTAGCTCATCACTAGCATATTCATCATCTTCCCATTTCTTATTTTTAGAACCAGTTAACAATCCAGCAACTATGGTACCCTCTTTAATGGGTAATGTGAAAAAGAGTTCTTCTTGTCCTAGGTTGTAGTTTTGGTGAAGACAAACACATCAACAAAAAGAAGAGTCAAAGCATGAAGACTAGAGGAATCAAGTTCAAATTATTAAAAAGCTTTAGAAAATAAATGGAAGAATCAAGATGGTTGAATATGAATTACAATTCAAGTATATATATCTTTATTGCTCATCAAATAATGCATATTCATATTAAACCTTTCATGAATCTTTTACAATT